GGGGGGGGGGGGGGGGGGGGGGGGGGGGGGGGGGGGGGGGGGGGTGGGGGAGATTCTTTTTTCCCGGGAGTGTTGCGTCGGGCACCGCGCCCCCTCATAGTGTTGGGATTTATATCAGAAAAAGCAACGACAGGATAAGACCGGGATGTTGTCTTTCCTTCGTCTTGAATCGTGGTCGCGTTTTGTATTTTTTTTTTTTTTTCTCGGAAGGTCGAGGGGAAACGTCCAAATCCCCTCGGGCGACCTCCTACCGTGTTTGCTGTTCGAACGGTTTTGGTCCCTTCGCGCCGCTGTTGAGAATCCAATCATTCCCAACGCACCCATGTTCGGGCAGTCAGTCTGTGCCCACGGACGGCATCCATGGTAGTTGAAGAAGAACGGGTGTTTGAAGGCACTGGACAGACACACGATCGATTATATAGTTAGGTGAAGACAGCAACAGAACAGCAACAACAACGTGCTTGACATGCTCGTCATTGCCGACACCACCAAGCTGTTTGAAAAGCACGCTTGTTTCTTCATGCGAGGTTTTGCCTGATTGTTTTCTGTGAGTGCTCACTTTGGCTCGTCGGTAGACACAAACACAGAGATTTGGGAGGTTGCCTCCGTGAAACTACCTAGAATACTCTCTCCACGCACGGAAGAAACCAAACCAAGATCTATGCTTGTTGTCCCATGGCAATAAACCACATCGGGCGCCTTGTGTGTGGAAGAGTTTCAACCGGGGGGTGGAGGCGGTTCTTATTCCCATACGGGATGCGTATTCAATGGCCAATCAGGAAGCGAGTACGCCGCCCCCTCATCCGACCAATACGACCACCGCCGCCACCTCCTGCAATCCCCAACCCTCACCAGGGGGAAGCGGGTGCTCATGTACTGCACGGGAGGCGTTCGATGCGAGCTGGCGTCTGCGCTTGTCCGGCGGCACTGCGACGCCGACGCCACCGGCACGGACGTCTTGCAGCTCTCGGGCGGCATCGAACGCTACCTTCAAGCCTACCCTCACGGCGCGGAAGATCTGGGACGGGCTGGGGAAGCACAAGCAGCAGCAGCAGCACTAGCACCAGCAACATCAGCAGAAGCAGAAGCAGCAGCAACAGCAGGGACTGTGAGAGAAAAGGAGCGCGGGGGGGTCGCCGGTGAGGGTTTCCAGAGCGCGGGAGGGGGGGGAGAGCAGTCGCGGGAGGGGTTCTTCCGTGGCAAGAACTTCGTCTTCGACGAGAGGTGAGTCCTTCCTCAGACACCAACAATTTTTTTGCTGTGTGGCGCTTGGTGTGGGTGTGGGTCTGCGTGGCTTGTGTCGCTGACGGGCCTGCCTCCGCAGATTTTTGTCGTCGATATTTTGCGGTGAGGGCTGTTTTGAGAGTAGCATTGGACATTTCTCAACAACAACAGCAGCAACAACAATAAGGCGATCATATCATGGCATAACGAAGTTCTCCCGGTGGTACGCAAAAGAGTCGTTGTCGTATTTTCACTGAACAATCACTTTGATAGCAACCTCTGGCTACACCCATACTCAGAACTTGGGACCACACTTGCGAATAGCTTCTGCGAAACCGTTTGAACATCCCGGTAGCGTGCCGCCTACCTGCATCGTGTGTCGGCTGTGGTCCCGGCATGTCTTCTTGTTCACCCAGAAAACACCCACACTCTCTGCTTCGAGCATTGTGTCGCCAGCGGCAGCGTCTCGGTCATCACATGAAGATTCCATGTGTCAATTCTTGTTGTTGCACTTGTTTGCGGCCTCACTCGCTCGCTCACTCTTTGTTCCCCAATTGTAACTTGGGGTTTCAGTCAGCGCTATCCCGAAAAAAGCAAGGTAGAAATCTTGTCCGAAATTTCCATACTGAACTCAAATAAAAATGTCGGAAATTTCCATACTTCGATCAAGTCAAATATGTCCGATATTTTCATACGTAGATCAAAACAAGTTTGTTTACCGATTTTCATTTCACATCAAGCCAAATATGCTATCGATTCTCATGCTCGATTTCGCTCAGCTCGCGCCACGCGCACGAAACCGCGGCGGTGAGCAAGATACAGCTTCAATGGCATGCTCCCCAAGTCTCGCGAACGCAGGTGGCAAGCACCGCGAGCACGGCAAGCAGCATTCGTCCGAAAACTACCTGTGCTGCTCCATTTGTGCGAGAGTTCATGAGGGGGCTGCATGGGTATCGTCGGCGACGATTCGTTCGACTAAAACACATGCGAACCGCGTCTGTCTGGGGTGGACAAAGAAGGAAACATCTAGGGAGGCACCGGTACAGCAGCTGTAGTGAGGGCAAGGGCAGTTCCTTTTACGTCGTGTTGTTTCAACAAGTCTCGCCATCAACATGCATGCCAGCGTAACAGAACAATGTACCCGTCCATATAAATGCAGCGGTACATCCGTCCGCGGACTGCTGCTGCTGCGTTGCTGCCGCTGCTGTGATGACACGTAAAACAACCGCCACTTTTGTATCACTCCTACACAGCACACCACGAGGTTTCAAATATGCAACAAACCGTCTGATTTCGTCTGGGCTTTTTTTCCTTGGCTGTGTCTGCATGCCCGTTCTAACGCGAGACCTAGCACAACTGCTGCGTCGACCTTGTCCCTTCCCCCTACAATCCCCCCCTCGCAAGAAAGCCAAGAACTTTTTTTTGCCAAGAACGACAAGGAACAGACCCGCAATTTTTCGCCGCCACTTAGTGCTCGTGAATACGAGTCATAGACGTCTCCCGTTCTGTCTGCTTCCGGAGGTGATTTGTGCTCGCCAGCAACCTTTGCTGGACGCTCATGATAAAACTATCCGGGAAGTCAGATTTCAACAACGGCAAGCGTTCAAGGCCAGGAGGTATACAAACAAAGATGTTGGCTGACCGGCTGACCATGCTCTTCGGGAAAGAGCGAGGGTTGAAACAAAGGCGCAAAAAAATGCAGTTTTACTAGCCACGAAGAGAGCTGCGACCAAAGGATGGAACAGGCAGCACCGGACGCGGTTACACTCCCCGGCGTCAATCCCGTGCACATCAAGTTTTCGGAGGGCGAACTAACGGACTATATCATTCTCATGAATCCCTAGCCATTCCTCGTGGAGGCGTACTTCGTACTACCTGGAAATAGCATGCATACCTTTACCTTCAATCTATGCTCCATTCGTGACGCCACATCTACCGACACACGACAGAAAAAAAAAACAGTTCGAGTGAGGAAGCACTCGTGGGCCTCCACGGCAACCAATGAAAGTATCTATCGCGTGCCCTACCCCCCTTGTGGTATTTATGGATGGTTCCTGTGCGTGCAGGGTATCGGTGCCAGAAACACCGGCGGGAGGGGTGGTGATGGGGCGCTGCGTGCTGTGCGAGCGGCCTTGGGACGACTACGGTAGCCGCTGCAGATGCACGAGGCAGGTTCTGTGTCTGCGTGTACCGTGAGTCTTCATTGTTTTTATCAACCGCGCTGATCGGCTACAAAGCGAATGAAATTTACGTCAGTCTCGGGGAAGTACGAACGATGATCCGGGGTC